GGGTGGTGGTGGTACGAGCCTGGGTGAGAATCATAGAGCTACGCTACACTTAACGCGCACGCACGCACGCACGCACGCGTGTGTATCATGTGCGCGACGGTGACACACGCGCGGATGACCGTAAGCCTCCTCCGTACCGTGCGTTTCCCATATTGGTATCCTGGGTTGTTGTCGACAGGTTGCCGGATACGCATCCTGCGAATCCGCTTTGCCCTCCGGTGCGAGAGATGCGATGAGCTCCAAGCCGCTTCGATCACCTTTAAATATCACAAATGCGCGCGGCTGCATTTATCCAAATACATACATATGTATGATATACAGAGACACTTGTTTTCAACTATATATTATTAACTGTGTGTGTGCACAGCTCTCATCTTACGTTCTTTTCTCTCGCGTACATTGAACAACGTTGAATCACCGAAATGATATCGTCAAATCGAACGTCCAAATTGAATACTTTTTTTAAAATCTTTGTAAAATCTGTTTATTTGGAAAATAAATTACCAATGCCAAGTTCAATATTGCCGTTTAAATTATTACAACAAGAAATTTCAGTTAACAATAAAGGAAGAAACGTTTATATAACTCGACAAGATAAAGAGGAAAGATTGTAGTAGAGCTACTTTCGAAAAGTCGAGCGAAACATTTTTTAAGAGCACCGCGGGCATTTTGATGCATGTTCGCGTCGACATACGTTTTAATTGAATAAACATCGCAATATGCATGTAATTTCAAACATCGCAAGATCGCATCGCGATTCGCGATGTAGGTGGGCTTTTTCCGAAGATGCTGGTGCGCGCGAGCAGCATCGCGGAAACGACAGCGGAAGCTTTCTATCGTGGCGAGTTTTCGAGAGAAAATGTTACGCACTCGTTTTCCAAGTATGCGATTGAGGTTTCATAGTGCGCCGCGTCGGAGAATTTTTCTTTTTTACATGAAATAAAGCGCGACCATTCGCAGAACGATTGACGTCGCTTGCGCGCGCGCGCGCGATTTAATATTCATATCCTCCAAGTAAATACGTATACGCGGCGAAGCAGAGATTTTCCTGGGTCCAGCTGATAGTCCAACATCAGTGTGCGGTCTACGGATGCAAATACGATTTGCACTTGGGTTAGTTTTGAAATCTGTCATTTATAAATTTATATATCGCGGAGGGAATGCAATTTTTTTTTTGCAGATTAAATTTTTTAAAAACTAAAGAACTTTTTTAGAATTAAAAAAATATTCTTTTCACGCGGCAAGAGAATAAAAACTAAAAGGATACACGCGCGATATATATTCATGTGCGTAATTTAATTTGTGTCCGCCTGCTTCGGAATAAAGAGATCCATCTGCTCTCGAAACGTACGCTCGATATAACGCAATTCACATTTTATATATGTATATCATATTTTATATATATATATAGGTATATATATATATATATATATATATATA